TTTTTTTTTTTCCCATTCAATCATCAGGGACAGGCGACTATCAGGCAGGCTATGAGAACCCGCCTGATTGGGGCCTGCACAGTTCAATGTCTCCATTCTATTGGTGGGGAGCGTCACCTGTTGGAAATCGGGTCCAACGTCCCTATAGTTCAAACATGACACTCGTGAGGTTCCTGAAACACATCCCGACTCAAATGACCTCTTCACCATATAGGCGTCAGAACTGACTTGATCTACTGGTCTATGAGTCTTTATAAAATGAGATGTCCTAACTGGCCACTGAAATTCCTGCAAGTCCTGCAAGATATGACATTGTAACAGAGTCTAAATTCGATGAAGTACACATGTACTGTGCCACATGCTACATGCTGAATCTGAGCTATGAGTGAGAGTATGGTGTATTCTTGCGAAATCATGGTGGCCTCGGCCCCATCAGCCAAGGTTCAATGATGATACCTGCAGCCTTGGTCTTGATCATCTTGACTCTTTGTCCCCATGTTCTGAAGAAGCGGTCCCTAGCTGCTCTTTTGTTCAAAGCACACCTGGCTCTCCTCCAATCCACCCAAATCAGGGACCGTAGTCCATCCAGAACCATATTCATGATGCTGAGGTCCGAATGGAACTTGGATCGAAAAACCCTATCATTCCTGATTCTCCAGATGACCTGCATAATGGCCGCTCTACATGCCTGGGCCACTTACACCCAACCCTTGCCGACTGCCTCTGCATTGTGCAAGATGCCTTCCACCACAAAATCCTCCTCCCACTGAACCAGAGCCTCCACCTTCTTCTCCCATAACTTAGCCCACCACACCCAGATCCTCTTGGACTCAATGCAGCCCCACCATAGATGCGTAGCTGATTCCACCATTTTCCGGCATCTTCGGCACGTGTTATCTACCGGTAATCTGTTGTCTGTTAGCCATTTGGCTGTGGGGACAATTCTGTGAGACTGCATCCAAGCCAGGCTTCTCAGCTTGGCGGATGGAATCTGCTTCAGATTGTGCCACAATTTTCTGAGTTTAGTCGAATTAATTCTCCCGTTCAGGGAAGATCTCTCTCTGGGTTCCATCTGCCAGCGGTTACAGAACCCTAGAGGGAGAGACCATGACTTGGCCTGCATCCTGTATCCCACTGTGGGCCGATATTCCAGGAGCTTGACTTGTTTGAAGGGCTCGCGCATGGACCACCCCCAGTGAAGCGGTAATGTTTGCAGAGACAATGCAGACTATCAACTGCCTACGTTCCCATAGGACAGAAAAAAGTATTCTTGTCCTTGCTGGTTTCGAACAGACGACTATGGACTTAACCTGTCCGAGCTCAAGAACCGTCTCCTCTGTTTCCAGTAGGATGTTGGAAAACCCATTCTCGTTATTTTCTATGGTGTAAGGTGTGGCGACAGCCTGGGTTTGATCCTGGTCCAAGATCACGTGGACTGCTAGTTAAATGTGCTGGTTGATTTGCTGCAAGACACGTGCTCTGCTGCCTGAACTACAGAGTGCAAAGCAGGTAAGTGCCTGCCAACACCCCCACCCAACCTCCCCCCAACCCCCGTTTTTTTTTGTTTTGTTTTGTTTTGTCCGGACATTTTTGCACCCCGGGGACCGGTCCGGACTGTCCGGTGTCCGGTGATGTCCGGATCACCGGACAGTCCGGACCTGTCCAGACACTGGTCCGGAAGACAGTCCGGAAGTGTCCGGTGTCCGGGTCCGGGGTTACCATGTGACAAAATACACACACAAACACCCTCTCCCCGTGGTGAGTCGGGGAGGGTCTCTCTCTCTCTCTCTCTCTCTCTCTCTCTCTCTCTCTCTCTCTCTCTCTCTC